TGATTGATTGGGAGTTGAACCCCTTCTGGGTCTACTGTATTCATCATGAGTTTCAATCAAACTTGGTCTACATCTCCCTTGGAATTCTTGTTTATCATGGCTAGAAGATTGACCAGATCCATAAGCACCTTGCTCAGAGCAAGATGAATGACATGAGTTAGGCTCATACTGGTCAGAGCCAGAATACTGATGTGATTGGGAGCCACAATGTACAGAAGTGGAGGGTTTAGCAGGCCTATATTTTTCAGAGACAGAACAAGGTTGGCTATGGCTGGAAGAATGACTTGAACCAGACCAGTGCTGACTATAGCTATAGGATAAAGGTGAGCCTGATCCTTGTTGGCCACAGTTAGAAGACTGAAATGAGCCAGACCTATGTGGGCTGTGTCTCTGAGACTGACCACAGCCATATTGAGTGGATCTAGAAGACTGACCTGAGCTAGATCCATGTTGGCCATAGCTGGAGGACTGACTTGGCTCAGAACCAAAATGGTCACAACTTGAACACTGACCTGAGCCAGGAGATTGACTAGAGCCATGTTGTCCAGAGCCAGAAGACTGACCAGAACTAGATCCATGTTGGCCACAGCTTGATGACCGTCTTGAAGTAGAACCAGAGGATGGGCCTAATCCTGACCTTTGTTGGCCAGAATTGGAGCACTGATGTGAGCCATAGCCATGTTGTCTATGGCTTGAATACTGACCAGAGCTAGATCCATGTTGGTCACAGCTAGAAGATTGACCTGATGTAGAACCATGTTGGCCAAAGCCAGAAGACTGACCTGAACTCGACTCAAATCGCCTATGAATTGAAGACTGACTTGACTCAGGTTGACCATAGCAAGAAGACTGACCAGAGTGGGATCCTTGTTGGCCACAGCTGGACCCATGCTGACGAGAGCTAGAGCACTGACCTAAGGCAGAGCCATGTTGTCTATTGCTTGATGATTGAGTGGACCCATATTGTCTATAGCCAGAAGGCTGACTGGAGTTAAATCCATGTTGGCCACAGCTAGAAGACGGATCTGATCTAGAACTATGTTGTCCATAAGTGAAGGACTGACGTGATCCAGAGCCTTGTTGCCTATGGCTGGTAGACTGAGTGGACCCATGTTGTCCATTGCCAGAAGACTGACTAGAGACAGATCCATGTTGCCCACAGCTTGATGACTCCCCTGAAGAGGACTGGCCTAATATTGGCCCATATTGGCCTCCACTACAGAATTGACTTGAGCTAGAGTTATGTTGTCTATGTTTGCAAGACTGAGTGGATCCCTTTTGTCCACAGCCAGATGACTGAGCAGAGGTAGATCCTTGTTGGCTACAGCTAGAAGATTGACCCGATCCAGAACCATGTTGTCCACAAGTGGAGGATTGGCCTGATCCTGAGCCATGTTGGCCACAGCTAGAAGATTGACCTGAACTCAACCCACACTTCCTACGACTTGAAGGCTGACTTGATTTGTGTTGACCATACCCAGAAGGCTGACCAGATCTGGATCCCTGTTGGCCATAGCTAGAACACCGACCTGAGTTGGAACCATGTTGACCAGAGCTAGAGGACTGGCCTGAACCAGAGCTTTGTTGTTTATGGCTGGAAGATTGAGTTGACCCATGTTGTCCATAGCCAGAAGGGTGACCAGAGCTAGATCCATGTTGGACACAGCTTGATGACTGTTGTGAAATAGAAATAGAGGACCTGCCTGATCCAGACCCATGTTGGCCAGAACTGGAGGACTGATCTGAACCAGAGTCATGCTGTCTATGGCTCAAAGTCTGAGTAGACCCATGTTTTCCATAGCCAGATGACTGAGCATAGTTAGATCCATGTTGGCCACAACTAAAAGACTGACTTGATCGAGAATCATGTTGGTGGTAGCCAGATGACTGTCCAGAGCAGGAACCATGTTTGCCAGAGCTTGGACACTGATGTGAGCCAGACTCATGTTGGCCAGAGCTAGAGGACTGGCATGAACCAGAGTCATGTTTTCCATTGCTGGGAGACTGACTAGAGCCATGTTGTCCAGAGCTAGAAGACTGACCAGAACTAGATCCACATTGATCACAGCTTGATGACTGTCTTGAAGTAGAACCAGAGGTTGACCCGTGTTGGCCAGAACTGGAGGAATGATGTGAATCATAGCCATGTTGTCTATGGCTTGAAGACTGACCAGAGCTAGATCCATGTTGGTCACAGCTAGAAGATTGACCTGATGTAGAATCATGTTGGCCAAAGCTAGAAGACTGACCTGAACTTGACCCACATTGCCTATGACTTGAAGACTGACTTGACTCAGGTTGACCATAACCAGAAGACTGGCCAGAGTGAGATCCCTGTTGGTCACAGCTAGAGTGCTTACCTGAGCTGGACCCATGCTGACGAGAGCGAGAGCACTGACCTGAGGCAGAGCCATGTTGTCTGTGGCTGGATGATTGAGTGGACCCATGTTGTCCATAGCCAGAATGCTGACTGGAGCTAGATCCATGTTGGCCACAGCTAGACGACTGACCTGATCTAGAACTATGTTGTCCATAAGTGGCGGACTGTCCTGATCCAGAGCCTTGTTGGCTACAGCTAGAAGACTGACCTGAACTTGACCCACATCGCCTGTGACTTGAAGACTGACTTGACTCAGGTTGACCATAGCAAGAAGACTGACCAGAGTGGGATCCCTGTTGGTCACAGCTAGAGTGCTTACCTGAGCTGGACCCATGCTGACGAGAGCGAGCGCACTGACCTGAGGCAGAGCCATGTTGTCCATGGCTTGATTGAGTGAACCCATGTTGTCCATAGCCAGAAGGCTGACTGGAGCTAGATCCAGGTTGGCCACAGCTAGACGACTGACCTGATCTAGAACTGTGTTGTCCATAAGTGGAGGACTGTCCTGATTGAGAGCCTTGTTGGCTACAGCTAGAAGACTGACCTGAACTTGACCCACATCGCCTATGATTTGACTCATATTGAATATAGCAAGAAGGCTGAACAGAGCTGGATCTCTGTTGGCCACAGCTGGAACACTGACTTGAGCCAGACCCTTGTTTTCCTGAACCAGAGAACTGACCTGAACACAAACCTTGTTGTCTATGTCTGGAAGATTGAGTGAACCCATGTTGTGCATAGCCAGAAGGCTGACTAAAGTTAGATCCATCTTGGCCACAGCTAGAAGTTTCACCTGATGTAGAACCATGTTGTTGGCCAAAGCTAGAAGACTGACCTGAATTCGACCCACATCGCCTATGACTTGAAGACTCACTTGACACAGGTTGACCATAGCAAGAAGACTGACCAGAGTGGGATCCCTGTTGATCACAGCTAGAATGCTTACCTGAGCTGGACCCATGTTGACGAGAGCTAGAGCACTGACCTGAGGCAGAGCCATGTTGTCTATTGCTCAATGATTGAGTAGACCCATATTGTCCATAGCCAGAAGGCTGACTGGAGCTAGATCCATGTTGACCACAACTAGACGACTGACCTGATCTAGAACTGTGTTGTCCATAAGTGGAGGACTGTCCTGATCGAGAGCCTTGTTGGCTACAGCTAGAAGACTGACCTGAACTCGACCCACGTTGCCTATGATTTGACTCATATTGACTATAGCAAGAAGGCTGACCAGAGCTGGATCCCTGTTGACCACAGCTGGAACACTGACCTGAGCTAGAACCTTGTTTTCCTGAACCAGACGACTGACCCGAACACAGACTTTGTTGCCTATGGTTGGAAGATTGAGTGTATCCATGTTGTGCATAGGCAGAAGGATGAGTGGAGCTAGATCCATGTTGGCCACAGCTAGAAGAATGATGTGATCTAGAACTATTTTGTCCATAAGTGGCGGACTGATCTGATCCAGAGCCTTGTTGTCCATGGCTCATAGACTGAGTGGACCCATGTTGTCCATTGCCAGAAGACTGACCAGAGCCAGATCCATGTTGCCCACAGCTTGATGACTGCCCTGAGGTAGAAATAGCAGACTGGCCTAATTTTGACCCATGTTGACCTGAACTACAGGATTGACCTGAACCAGAGTCATGTTGTGTATGTTCACAAGAATTAGTGGACCCCTGTTGTCCAGCGCTAGATGACTGACCAGAGGTAAATCCTTGTTTGTCACAATTAGAAGATTGTCCATAAGTAGAGGACTGAGCTGATACAGATTCATCTTGGCCACAGCTAGAAGATTGATCTGAACTCGACCCACATTGCCTATGACTTGAAGACTGAATTGATTCATGTTGACCATAGCCAGCAGACTGACCAGAGCTGGATCTTTGTTTGGCACATGTAGAACTCTGCCTTGATCTAGACCCATGTTTACTAGAGCCTTGTAGTTCACACCTTGATGACTTTCCTGAAGTAGAACCATGTTGCCCATCAGAAGACTGGTAGGACCTGGACCCAGTTTGGCCAGAGTTAGAGGTATGACATGAGCCAGAGCCATGTTGTCTGTGTCTAGATGATTGACTTGACCCATGTTGTCCATGGTCGGTAGACAGACCAGAAGTAGATCTGTGTTGACCACACCTTGATGACTGTCCTGAAGTATTACTAGGGGAATGGCCTAATTCAGATCCATATTGCTTAGAGGTTGAAGCCTGACCTAAGCTTGAGCCTTGTTGTCTATGAGTGGACATATGTTGTCTATAGCCAGAAGACTGATCAGACCCAGATCCATATTTTCCACAGTTGGATGACTCACCTAAACTGGATCCTGTACTAGCCTCATGGCTTTTATGAGATGAAAATTGACTTGAGTCACAATCATATTTTCCATTATTGCACGATTGCCCTACTGCAGAACCATGTTGTCTTCCATAGCTGCCTGAATGTCCACCTGAGATGGTTTCATGGTGTTTTGGCATGGTATGACTGGAAGCAGAACCACATTGCCCACAGTTAGATGATGTTCCTGTTCCAAATTCTTGGTGGCCATGAGTAGTACTTTGGCTGTACTTTTTCTGAGTAGAGGATTGATAGGGACTTGGCTGATTTTTGCCACTGCTTATGGACTGGCCTGATTCAGACTCACACTCTTTAGAGCCTGAATACCGTCTTGATTCCAAACCATCTTTTTGCTGTCTATTAAGTCCTGACTGTCCACTTGAACTGCATCTGTGTTTCTTTTGATCGGAAAAATGACCAGAGTTAGAACATCCATAGTGTGCTGACTGACATGAATGAGACCTGTACTGTTCACAACTTGAGGACCTTGGGGAGCCAGATCTTTCTTGTTTCCACAAATTCCCTGATGGAATATTAGAACTGGATTCACGTCTTCCCTGACTAGGGTGCGGGTTCATGCTTAACCTATGTTTTCCATAACTCTCACTAGAATTAGAACAGTATCCTTGTTCTTCCCATTTTCTCAATTGTGATCCTTCTTTTGTTTTTTGCTGTCTCTGTTGAGAGGACTGACCTGAGGTAGACCTGTGACCACAACCAGTTGTTTCATTTGATCTTGTCCAGTGGTCTTGTCCTCCAGAGCCCCCTGAGCTGAATTCTTGATGTTGCCTACAAGGGGATTGTCTTGATTTCTTCTTATGTTGTCTATTCTGTGAGGATTCATTTGAGTCAGAACAGTGTTGGTTAGAACTAAAAGACCCATCCTCTGAAGAGTATGCATTTCTTTCCCCAGAGCTTTGCCTGTGCCCAGAACTAGAATGGTCACTTTGCTGTATCTTGCTTCCACAGTTCTGTTCTGTGACCCCTCTGGAGATTCTGGAATAGGAATATTTCTCTCCTGCATTACAACTTGAGTGACTGGGAGACCATCCTTGTCTTTTGACCTCATCTTCTTCTTCACTCTGTTCCTCATGGTGCCAATGACTGTGGTCTCTCTGCTTTGACCTTGAAGCTTGGCAGTAATCTTTGCTGATGATTTTGTTACAAGCCTTGGCCAGCTTGAATATCATCAGAAGATACTCAGTGAAATCCACCTTCTTGTTAAGGTCTCGATCCAGGCTCTGCATGATGATGTCTACAGTGTCTGGATCATCTGGATTCTGAACAGGAACAAGATACAAAGGGCAGTTCTGTCAGTATTGACTTCAATGAGCAAACCCAGTGAAATAAGGCTGTAAAAATGTGAGCACTTGCTTAATTAGGTGGCTCTCGATCACATACGATTTACCTATCCTGTCCAGATTGAGAGAAAGGAATATTCAATGAATGATGTAGTGAGAAATGGCTTGAAGTTGTAATTATTTTTCATGAGGATGGGTCAAATATGAATAATTAAATACTTTGTAAATGAAAATTTTGTATACCAGGGTGAATTACATATAATCTTCTTTTGACTCATTGAAGTAAGTAAATAATTCAACAAAGCTTCCTAGTATTGAGTTAGATACAGAGGATAAAGTGGTGAACAGTTTGATTTCTGAAAACAAACAAATAGATGTTACTGCTTAATGGGCTAACACATGAAGTTAATTGCCAGTATTTTAATGACTCTGAGAGTACAGCAGAGGAGAATCACTGGGGTTCAAGGAAAGATTGTGAGAGGAAGTATTTTCCTTGTAGGATGGATAGGAATTAGCCAAAAGGAAGAGTAAAGGAAAGGAGGGACAGGCATACAAAAATATTGTCTGGACATAGGGAAGGATGTGAGCAAAGAGGTGGAAGTAAGAGAAGGCTTATAAATGGAAGTGAACAAAATTCACGATTGCTGATTTTAGTATCAGCAGAGAGAAATAGCAAGTAGATTATGCATTTTTAGTCTTGGAAAGAAATTTTTACATTTTTCTTCAAAGATCTGGGAGCTATTGAAAGATTTTTAATTGAGTTGTGAAATGATTATATTTGTATCCAGTGCTGAGATTGGAAGTTATATTTGGCCTGAACTACAAGTCTAGGAATATTTATGGAATGGAATTGGTGGTTTGAGTTTATTGATAATTTAGATGGAAATTGGAGGTCCTTTCTGAGAGAGGAAGTTAGAATGGCACCAGATTTCTATCTTAAGCAAGTAGGTATATGGAGTCTAGAGGGGAATATCATGTTTTTTTTTTTTATCTGATACACCAACTTTATGACACCCATAGGAACTTAAACAAAGTATTTACCAGACAGCTGTAATTACAAAATTGAAGACAAAGCTAGACCTAAAAAGTACTATCTTTTACCACATTTTTAAAGTGGTAGTCTGTTGTTATATGATATAGAAGTATTAGCATCTTATAGTATCAGAATCTCAGAAATGGGCAGTGGCCTGGGTATTCTGTTTGAAGAAACACTAAGGAGGAGAACAAGATACATTTCACTTGCAGTTTTTCTGAGGACCATCTGAGTTTCAGTAATGTAATAATCATTAACATAGAGAAGATATTATTCAATGTTTATATCTCAACAGGTGACTAGTGGTATCTCTTCCCTTGGGGATGTTGTAAAAATCTCAGAGGTCAATTTTTTGATCTTATTTCATGCCTTTAACAAACCCGTTCTTGGAAAACAAGTAGAGAGTTCTGTTGGAGTTTGTTAGGTGTCAAGAGGTAGGATGTGACGAGTGGAAAATTACAGCTGTTTTCAGTCCTGACATGGAGTTATTACCTTCAGAATTTGATGAAACTCATTTTCCAAAAGTGCCTTCATTTCTTTCTTTTTTAACATGTTACATTCCTCATCTTGGCTGGCATATTCATAGAAGACATCGATGACAGTGACCATGCTTTGTAGGAGTTTAGGCATCTTTAAGTAAATTTAATTGATCTGTGGAAAAAAGAGGGAGATAGTCATCTGTTGTGATTTTTTAAATGTATTTGAATAGCTCTGATTATTTGTAATAACTGTTTAGAGTCAATTAGGCATATAAAATTATATCCTGTTGTAATAAAGAACCAATTCAGAGTTGAATGACTTGTTCAAGCCAGTGGCAAGAAAGTGATGAAATGGTGAACAGACTCTCCATTGGTTATAACCACTTATGAGTGCATGTGGAGCTCTGAATTTGTTTTGGATCCACTGCTTCTACAAGGGGTACACTATGGACTATTTTTTTCTTCTGGAGCTTTGGAAATTATGGGTTTACTAATTCATCCACTTCCTCAGTTCCTTTTTGGGTCCCAACTGTCACACTACTTAGGGGTAGGTCCAACATCTACATGAAATGCCTGACTGCACTACGAGGTAGCAGTGGTGAAGCTGGACCACTACAATTTCCAGGTCGGAGAAAGATAAGCTATGGAAAGACCCCACAGGACTTGGTGATAATGAGCTGGGAGTAGCTTATGTTGGGCTCAGTTTGTGTTTTGATTCCCCAAAGAAGAACTTGCCCCCTGGTTTTACTGATTTGCAACAAATAGAAAAATCTCTTTACAGGAAAGAATATACAAGACAATTAAAAGACACTGTACTGAATGGGAAAGCTGTTCACACAAATACGTAGGTGATAGGTGAGTACTAGGCAGCATGTCTGGTGGAGATAGCCCTGGGATTTTTAATGAAATGATTCCCAAATGACACTCTGTATAGGAAATGGTGATGGGATAATTGAAGTCACACATAAAGGTATAAGGCTGATTGTTTATTAACAGCACACACAATAATATAGTCCAAATAGGTTTAATATACAAGACTTGCAACAACAATACACATAGAAGGAATCATGGGTTATATGTTCCATGATACCAACAATGAAGATAGTTTTGGTGACTCAACGTCAGTGGCAAGGAATTAAAAACAAAAACTAGCAATTGGGACTACACCAAGTTAAAAACCTTTCCAGGGAAAGAATATACAAGACAACTAAAGGACCCCTACTTAATGGGAGAAACTATTCAAATAAATATATAGCTGATAAGTGAGTACTAGTCAAGCTCTATGAGAAACATACAATTCAACAATGGAAATCTAAACCCAATTAAGAAGTGGATAGCAGATATGAATGAACATTTCACAGAAGAGCTGTCTAGAAGGACAAAAGAGACATGAAAAAGGTTCATCATCATTTCTAATAAGAAATATTCAGATTCAAACTACAGTGAGATACCATCTCACACTAGTGAGAATGGTTCAGGTTCAACATACCCCCAACAACATGTGCTAGAGAAGATGTGGTGGTAATCTAAATGGTGAAAACACTATGGACAGCTATCTGGATTTAGCTTAAAATCTCAAAATGATAATGGGATATATGGCCCAGAGTATGAAACTATCAGCAAAGCCTTCTTTATGCTTCACAACATTCTTACCAGCATTATTTTCAATAGTTTAGACAGTGTTGCAGCCTGAAAGTCTAGATTCAGGCATGACTGGATCTAGAAGGTGGATATATCCATACATGGAGTACTACCTAGACCCAAGAAAGAATGACATGCAGCCATCTTCAACAAAATCAGGAAGGGAGAGAATCATATAGGGCAAAGTAAGTGAGAACTATAAAAACAATATTGTATATAGGTTAAGAGACAGGGAAGAGAGAAGTACAAGGAGACAGCAGTAATGATGCTTTTTTGCGTCAAATTCATAAGGCTCAAGTCCTGCTCACTTACCTAGTTGGCCAGAGGAACAAACAAGATGTTGACTGAAGCAGCTTTCAGGGTGCTGCTTGATGAGGATGTGGTCTTTTTATAGAGGGGATAATGGTCCATCTTAGGGAGGAGCTGCTCTTTCAGATGTCCTAATTCACTCCCAAACTAGTCCAGTTCCACCTCCATCTTCACCTGTTAGGTATTTGCCTTCCTTAAATGATCATTGAGATTGCATTAGCAATTCCTAAATCTGGGCTAGTGCCTGCCCATGCCAGATTTTCTGGATTCTGTAGAAGGACCTCTTTCCATATTCAGCAATGTAGCATAATACGCTGATAACAGATGATGTGGACTTTTTTTTTTTTTAGGATTTATTTATTTATACAGGCCAGAGGTGTGGTGGGTGAGAGGATTTACCAGAGACAGAGTGGGGAATAGAACAGGCAGATTGACAAACTACACTGCTGAGGGTAGCAGCGGGTGGGTCAGGAGAGGTCTGTCAGGGTTCCCTGACTGGGGATTGAATTCATGCTGCAGTGGCTTCAGAGAGCTTCATAATGTGGTGCTTTAACCAGTTGTGCCACCACAGAGAACCCTGATGTGGACTTTTAACTGAAATTGAATGGAGTGTTTATAGGACATCATGGAGCAAATATCAAAAAATGGTGGAATTTGATGTTTATAAGATCATCCACTCAAATTCCCATTTTTTTATTAAAGATTTATTTATTTGTGCATACAGAACTGGGGTACAGGCCAGAGGTGCAGGGGCGGTGAGAGGATTCACCAGAGACAGAGTGGGGAGCAGAACAGGCCAACTGACGAAGTACACTGCTGAGGGGAGCAGCGGGCGGGTCAGGAGAGGTCTGCTGTGCCACATGGGTCACCTCCTGGGTAGGCGGGGGTCAAACTCATGTGGAAGTGGCTTTAGCTTCTCAGTGCAGTGCTTTAACCCGCTGCGCCACCAGGGATGGCCCCAAATTCCCATTTTAAGCTAAGTTTTCACCTGCAGGATTCCAGCTAAGCTATCTCCTGTGATATAATTACCTCTACGTATGGATAATGGCAGCAGACAACCTGTGTATATCTTTACCTAAGTATTTGCTAGATCTTAATGACCACTGTTGCTTTACTTTCAAGTCCCATGAAACATTAGGAAAAAATAAATATTTAGCAAGGTATCCAAAGATCTTTATTATCTGGATTCTCTTAGTCTCCATCCACTCTCTTCCTATTGTTTTCTTTGATTTAGCAGTAATTAATTACTTCACTTTTCCTGAATATACCATGTCACTTCATAGGTTTTCTTGGTATGTCTTTACTCATTATTTGCCTAGCACACTCCTAATCATTTTTCAAACTTACCTTAGACATCTATATGAAATCTCTCTTGCATACTATGTGCCATTTAGTAAGTTTATTGTGATATTAATGACATTCATAAAATCTTTTCAAATTGTTTTTCTGTAATTAGTATTTTACATAAAACCTAGGAAAAACAGATAAAGTAAATCAAGGAAGAAAATGTTGATAATCCTACTATCTAGTGATGGCTACTGTTTAGTATTTTGTATATAGGCTTACACACACACACAGACACACACACATATTTGTCTGGATGCCTGTGGCACAACTAGACTGAAATCCTTGAGTATGTGAATGGACTTTATTAGTCACTGTATCACTTGGAGGTACAGCATGTTGCCTGGCACAAGGGTCCCCAGTAAATGTTTCATTGAATTGAAAATTCTGTGTCATGACAGCAGTGCTCTGTGTTCATCTACTTCTACTTTTCCTAGGAGTAGGGTCTGTCCTCTCTCTGTACAGTTGCACCTTGGAGGACATGAGTTCACCTGAATAGAATCTGAATCAAAGCATCAGCGAGTTACTTTCTGCTTATCCCTAAGGACCTTGACCTGCCCTCTTTCTGCTGTGCGTATTGCAGAAATTTCACTCAGCTGAGTGACATTACCTAAAATTCAAACTTGTGCAATGTGATGGTCATGATTTGGGAAGGAGTGGTAGCAGCCATTGGCAAATGATAAATCACATGATTCCAAATTAACCATGATTAGGTTATTTTTTTTCTTCTAAGAATTTTTGTATAGTCATTATCTATCCTATGACCATGTTTTCTCTGTATGCATGACTTAGGCCAGATTGTCATGCTTCATCAGCGGAATGAGATCTTTCAAGGTGTGACTGAGATTGTGGGATTCAGGAGAGATGGAATTTGCTGAGTGAAAAGTAATTTCCTGTAGAGGCTGATGTTGCCACAGAGGGAAGAGAGGATTGATGCTAGACTATCCCAGGTAAACAGTGTTCTTGGGTTTTCTCCTGAACAAGGGGGTCAGCAGACGTTCTCTGTAAAGGACCAGGAGTAAATATTACAGTTTTTGTGGACCAGACACTGTTTGTTGCAATTACTCAGTTCTGCTTTTGTAGTATGAAAACATCCATAGATGACATATAAACAAATGAGCATGACTGTGTTTTGATGAAACTTATTTACCCACATCTGATCCATAAATTTTGTAATTTCTATGTCAGATTTATTTTCCCAACCATTTAACAATGTGGAAAACACTCATAAAATTTGTGTGTCACACAGACATCGGTGATGGTCAGTCTGGGTCTGGGCTGTGGTTGGCACCCCCGCTTCTCTTCTGAATTTGCTTGTCAGGAAGAGTCACCAGGAGAAGGGAGTCTCAGAGGGAAGAGAAGAGCTGGAAATTGTGGGACATCAGAAACCCTAGTTCTTATAAGAGGAAAATGTGCATTGTGTATTTGTGAATGTGGGTGTGTGTGAGGTGATAGAGGAAGGGACTAGAACCAGGGGCCTTGTGCTACTCATAGAAAGGAGGCAAATTTTTATTTGATATAAGGAAGAAACATTTAATATATCATCAACTGAAACAACAAGGAACTGTTTTTGTAGATTTAAGAATTTATTTTTCAGCTTTATTAAAGGATCTTTCATGTATTGAGTAAGCAGTTTTAATTTGTTCCATGTTTTGTTTTCAAATTGGCTCCATTATCATCTCTGTGTTTGTTGAACTTTACTTCCTATTTTGTGTGATGAAAACGAGGCATTTTGTGAAGGTGCGTTTTTCCCCTCTTCTCTGTTTCTGAGAATTACACAAATTATTGTAAATATTGGGTATTTTATTATAAACATTCTCTTCAAACAGATTATTTTTACCAGAATGATAGGATGTGCATAAATATATCCCACTCACATGTATGGTCAGAGAAGTTCTCTCTCAATGTCTGTATATAGCTGGCTATTGTGTATTTTCTTTTATTACTAAAATTACAGGGAGCCAAATGTTTCAGCAGGCTCCCTGGTGAATTGCAAGTCTCAGTGAGATGGTTGTGGGAATCACATTATGAGTATCAGTAGGGTTCTACTCAGTCTTCTAGCCATTCACAACATGGCTCTTGCTCAGTTCAGTCCCCTAGCTGTGGCCAGTATGTGTCTAGATTAGTCCAGTTTTCTAGGTCTAATTCAGGACAGTCGTTAAGCTGTGGACAGCCTGACTCTGGGTCATTTCTCTGGCTATAGACAACATGGCTCCATTCAGTGATCTGAGTTTTATTCAGCGTCTGGGACGTGCTTGACCACATTTGCAAGTGATCAGGCTTGTGAGAGCACTTTATCTCTTATGTATTAGATTCACTGGCCATTGATGATCTTTGTGTGATCCTATTTTTTTGTGAAACAAATTGAGCTTTACAAGTAAGTGTAAGGAAAAAGATATTAAACATCTTCTTGCTTGAAAAATCTTTTGGCTTTGTTCATTCCTTCAATCCAATTTTCTTCCCTGTCACCATAGCTGTCACTATGTTGAATTTGGTATTTAACATAATCAAAAGATTTTTTTTTTGCATTTACGAAGCACATATTCACTGCAACTACCCATTGCATTATTGCCTATATTATAAGACAGTATTAATGGTGACACACCATTGTATACATGTTTTACAGCTTTTTCATTCTGCACTCCATGCATATTGAGCTTCATATATTGTCAGGGAAGAAAACAATTGCCTTCGAGGTATTTTGGTCTGATAATTAAATCAATCTAAGACAGATAAGCAAAAGGAAGCCATAATTTTGTAGGTACAGGAGTTCCATGCAAATACATGACTCACTTGCTGTCTAGCTGATGAGGCTTCTGTATCATCCTGAGGTAAGGAAAAAGGGATTATGGGATGGAACTGCAGAGGGGAAGAAAGTAATTTATAGGAAGACGAGGGAAACAAATGTGTGGTAAAGAAGTTTTTGCCCTGCAATGCAGACATGTCTTGCTAATAGAAAAAGTTATCTGTGGTAGTGGCCTTCTTCCTGGTTCTCTACTAAGTTCTGTCAGGCAGTTAAGGGAGAATAATACAAATTCTTCTTGAATCTTCTAGGCCTTGAGTACCTTTAGTCAAAGTCAGCCCATGACTGTGTTGCATATTTCGTCCCCTTAAATTAATTAATTTCGATTGCTATGCTATGTAGTATTCTAGTATATGTCCAAGTCACAGTTTCTTTATCTGATCTCCCATGAACATTTGTAAGTTGCTTGCAGCACTTGGCTAACTCTGGCATGGCTGTGACATTGCTCCCTCAGTGGTTAGCAACTCACACGTTCATTGACCCATATTCTAGCAACACTGGTCATTGGTGGAATTTAGTATTTTCTGATACAGTGGGTAGAAAAGGTAATCTCATTTTATTTTTCTGTTCTCCTGATGGTTATTTTAAGTGTCTTTGGTGATTCCATATCTGTTTTGGTGAATTATCTTTTTATAAGTTTTGCTACACTTTTTTCATTTGATATTTATATTTGTACAGTCTGGCCATTGGATCACATTTTGTGTATATCTGTCACATTTTGTGTATATTTATTCTTGTCTGTGACATTTGCTTTTAACATTTTGAGAGTGTTTTGTATATTGATGGCAGTTATAATTTCATTTTAACAACATTTATAAAATTTTTCTTTGTGGTTGTTGTATTTCTTGTTTAAGAAATTCATTCTGGCCCTCCCTGGTGGTGCAGCAGGTTAAAGCACTGCACAAAGAAGCAAAAGCCACTTCCGCATGAGTTCGATCCCTGCCTGCCCCGCAGGTGACCACACGGAGTGGCAGACCTCTTCTGTCCCGCCTTCTGCTCCCCTCAGCAGTGTACTTCGTCGATCTGCCTGTTCTGCTCCCCGCTCTGTCTCTGGTGAATCCTCTCGCCCTCCACATCTCTGGGGCCTGTACCCCAGTTCTATATGAATAAATAAATCTTTAAAAAAATAAGAAATTTATTCTTACTTTGAAGTAAAATGATTCTCTGATATTTTCTTTAAAGCTGAAAAAGTTCACTGATCACACTTTCAAATTAACTTTCTTGGAATGAATTTTGTATGTGGTGTGAAATGGATATATAATTAAAAAATTTTCTGGTAATATTAATTGAAAATTTTTTCTCCTCCCATGTTCTTGATGGTCTCTTAGTACTCACATTCATAAGACTCACTAGTTGAAAGGCTATTACTACCACTTCTTTAGTTTTGATTGCACTCTGAGCATACCTGGCTACTTCTTGATTGATTGGGGTTGAGCACCTTCTGTGTCTACCGTACACATCATGAGTTCCACCAGAACCTGACCTATATCTCTCTTGGGTCCATGTTGACAAGAGCACTGACCTGAGGCAGAGCCATGTTGCCTATGGCTTGAAGATTGTGTCAACTCATGCTGACCATACCCAAAAGACTGATGAGAGCTAGAGCTAGATTCATGTTGGCCACATCTAGAAAATAATCTGATCCAAAACCAATTTGGCCACAGGTAGAAGAGTGATCAGAACTAGACTCTATCCCAGTGACTTTAAGACTGACTTGACTTGTGTTAACCATAGCTAGCAGACTGATTAGCACTGGATCTATCTTGACTACAATTAGAATACTGACCAGAGCTGGAGCCATCTGAGTGTGAGCTTGCAGACTGGCTGGAGGCAGAGCCATGTTGTGTATGGCTAGAAGATTGAGTAGACCCATATTGTCCATAGCCAGAAGACTGAGCAAAGCTAGATCCATGTGGGCCACAGCTTGATGACTGTCCTGTAGAAGAACTAGAGGACTCACCTACTTCAGAACCATATTGGCCAGAACCAGAGAGTGGCTGACCTGTGGTAGAGCCGTGCTTTCTGTGGCTTGAAGACTAAGTGTACCCATGTTGTTCATAGCCAGAATCTCAGCAGAGCTAGATCTATGTTTGCTGCAGCTAGAATATTGCCCTGATCCAGACCCATGTTGTCTGTAAATGGAAGGCTGATGTGATCCAGAGCCAATTTGCTATAGTGAGAAGACTGATATGAACTAGGCCCATGTCACATTTGACTCAAGACTCATGTTAACCATAGCTAGAAGACTGACCAGACCAAATCTATGTTGGGGACAGGTTGAACACTGACCTGAGCCAGACCCCAAGTTCACCAGAGCTAGAGGACTCACCTGAGTAAGAAGCATGTTTTATCTGGCTGAAAAGAGTGAATGGATCCATGTTTTCTACAGCCAGAAGTCTGACTTGACCATTGCCAGAATACTGCCCAGAATTGGATCCATGTAGGCCACAGCTAGAAGATTGACCTGAGCCTGACATATGTTGACCAGAGCTAGAGAACTGACCTGTTGGAGGCTCATGTTGTCCTGAGCTCGAGTACCCTCCTGAGTGACAGCGTTGTTGTCTGTGACTAGAAGACTAACTTGACCCATGTTGTCCATAGCCAGAAGTCTGTCCAGAGCTAGACCCCTGTCTGCCACAGCTTGATGATTGTTCTGAAGTAGAACTAGGGGAATAGTGTAGTCCAGACCCATATTGGACAGGAGTAGGAGACGGAATTGAGCCAGAGCCATGTTTTTGATGGCTAGAAGACTGAGTGGACCCCTGATGACCACAGGTAGAAGACTGACCTGAACTAGACCATGTTGTCCATAGGTGGAGGATGGACCTGATCCAGAGCCATGTTGGCCACAGCTAGAAGACTGACCTGAACTAGACCTTTGTCTCCTATGACTCGAAGACTGACTTGACTCATGTTGACCATTGCCAGAAGATAGACCAGAGCTGGATAAATGTTGAAGAGAACTAAAGGACAGGCCCAAACCAGACCCATGACTACAACCACTAGTTTCATTTGAACTTGACCAGTGGTCTTGTCTTCCACTGTTCCCTGAGCTGAATTCATGATGCTGCCTATGAGGGGATTGCCCTGATTTCTTCTTATGTTGTCTATTCTGTGAGGATTCATTTGAGTCAGAACAGTGTTGGTTAGAACTATAAGACTGATCCTCTGAAGAGTATCTACTCCTTTCTTCTCCACTACTGTCTGTCTGATTTGCTGAGTTTGATCTTTTTCTGCAGTTGCTTGAATGAGAATAACTACCTTCTTCACTCCCAGACCCGTCATGAGACCCGTGCTTCTTTATCTTTCTATCCTGGAATTGTCCTGAGCTTGAGTCTCTTCTTTCCTCAGAGCTTTGCCTGTGTCAGAACTGGAACGGCCTCTTTGCAGCTGCTTTCTCCCAGAGTTGGATCCAAGTCTGTGTTTAGTGATCCCTCTGGGGCCCCTGGAATAGGAATCATTCTCTCCTGTATTACAGCTTGAAGGACTGGAAGACCTTCCTTTTCTTTTGTCCTCATCTTCTGTTTCACTCTGTTCCTCATGGTGCCAGTGACTGTGGTCTCTCTGCTTTGACCCTGAAGTTTGGCAGTAATCTTTGCTGATCATTTTATTACAAGCCTGTGCCAGCTTGAATATCATCAGAAGATATTCAGTGAAATCCACCTTTTTGTTACAGTCTCGATCAAGGCTCTGCATGATGATGTCTACAGTGTCTGGATCATCTGGATTCTGAATAGGAACAAGATACAAAGGGCAGTTTCTTTCAGTACAGACTTCATTTAACTAACCATTTGAAAGAAGGCTGTAAAAATGTGAGTGCTTTCCTCATTAGGTAGAGCTCAACCATATAGACCATTAGGTTGGATTTACCTATCCTGTCCAGATTGAGAGAAAGGAATTCAGTGGGAGACTCAATGAATGATGCAGTGAGAAATGGCTAGCAGTTGTAACTGGAAGATGAAAGGGTAAAAATGAATTATTTTTTTAAAGACAGTGTCAAATATGAATGATTAGATTTATTTATTTATAAATTTGATAATTGGTGAATTACATATAACTACCATATAAGTACTCAACAGAGATTTTTGTGGACTTTTAACTTCCTAGTATTGAGTTGGCTACAGAGGATAAAGCAGTGAACAGTTTGATTTCTGACTATATGGAATTTAAAGCTTAATGGAGCAACCCATGATTTAATTAATTACTATGTATTTTAATGATTCTGAGAGGGTATTTTAATACAAGAGGAGAGTCACTGGCATTCAAGGAAGGTTTATGAGAGTAAGTGCTTTCTTTCAAAGAATGGGTTGAGTTAGCCAAATGGAAAAGTAAAGGAAAGGATGAATAGGGAGCAAAAGATTGTTCTGGGCAGAGAGAAGAATTTGAACAAAGAGTTTGAAAGTGAGAGAAAGCTCATAAAGGAAAGTGAACAAAATTCAGGATTGCTGCATCCAATCTCAGCAGAGATAAATGAGTCGCAGATCATGCTTTTTAAAGTCTTTATAAGGAACTTTTAACTTTTTCTTGAAAGTGCTGGCAGCTGTTGAGAGATTTTGAATTGTGTTGTGAATTGATCGTATTTGTATCCAGAGTTGAAATTGGAAGTAGGAATTGGCCTGAAGCAGAGGATTAGAACTACTGATGGAGCGAAATTAGTATTTTTTTGAGATTATTGATGATTTAAGTGGAAGTTGGAGCTGCTTTCTGAGAGAGGAAGTTAGAATAGCACCCGATATCTGTCTTGGTAGGAATAAGGAGTTCAGAGGGGAAGAGCATGTTTTCATATCTGACACACCAACTTTAAGATACTCAAATTCACCAGGCAGCTGTATTTAGAAAATTGAAATTAGATAGACCTAGATTCCCAAATTATTATTTCCTGAACTGCATTTTAAAAGTGGTAGTCCGATTGTTTTATGATTTAGAAGTAAGATGCTAATTTCCTTATTAGCATCTTGGAGTAAAAGAATCTCAGAAATAGGCAGTGGTTAGCATGTTCTCTGTTGCAGAAAGACAAAGGAAGAGAATATGATGGATTTCACTTGGAATTTTTCTTGTGAGGACCATCTCATTTTCAGTTCTGTAGAAATCACTCACATAGATGTGTATTATTCAATCTGTGGAGCTCAGCTGCTGATCAACAGGATCGCTTCCTTTGGTCGTGTTATTGAAACCTTACAGGTCGATGTTGACATTTTATGCCTTTTCTAAGCCCTATTCTTGATCAATAAATAGAGTTGTCTAGGATTTTGTAAGTGACAAGAAGGTAGGAAGTGGTGAGCCTAAAGTCACAGCTATTTTCAGTTGACATGGAGTTAACTACCTTCAGAATTTGAATGAACTCATTTTCCAAAAGTGCCTTCATTTTTCCTTCTTTAATAGGCTATGTTCCTTATCTTGGCTGGCATATTCATAGAAGACATCGATGATAGTGACCATGCTTTGTAGGAATTTTAGGCATCATTTTGTAAATATAATAGCCCTATGGAGAAATGAGGGGATAGAGGCAACCATCTTGTTTTCTTTCTCTCTCTCTCTTTTTTTTTTTACATTTAAGTAGCTCTGATTATTTGTAACAATTGTTTAGAGTCAATTAGGCATACTTATTTATATCCTGTTGTATTCAAGAACCAGTCAGAGTTGAATGACTTGTTCTAGCCATGTGGCGAGAAAGTGATGAAATTAGAAGCAGAATCTCCTAATAAATTGTTTATTTCCACTCATGAATGCATGTGGAGCTCTGACTTTCTGTTTTGGATTCCCTGCTTCTATAGGAGGTACACTGTGGACTTTTTTCTCTCGAGCTTTAAAAATTGTGGGTTTAATAATTTATCCACTTCTTCAATTCCTCTCTGGTCCCAATTATCACCCTCTAAAGGGACAGGTCCAAAATCTACATGGTGTGCCTGACTCCAGCTGTGAGGCACCAGTGGCTAAGCTGAACCCTTAAGACTTCTGGGTCAGCAAAAGAAACTCACTAGGGAAAGACAGCCACGTGCTTTTGTGATATGGAGCTGGGGGTAGCTTCTGTTAGTGTCAGTTTCTGGTTCCATTCTCCAAGGCGGATCTGACTCCCAGGCTTTACTGACTACGCCACAGAGAGAAAAAGCTCCATAATGAAAAAGGCAGCATGTTTGGTGGGTATAGCTCTGGAATTTTTAAGAAAATGATCCCCAAATGCCAGTATCTTTAAGAAATGATGATGGGATAATTGAAAGCCACACATAGAAGTGTGAAGTTAGATTACTCATTACACCGCACACAAAAATAAATTCAAAATATGTTAAAAAATATAATACCTGAATAAAGAAGAATTATTGGTGATCTATTCCATGATATGAACAATGAAGATATATTTCAGCTCCTAAAGGAATTAAAAACAAAATGAGTATTGGGACTTTCAAGTTTAAAAATTTCTTGCATGGAAAGAAAATATCAATTAAAAGACATCCCACTGAGTGGGAGAAACTATCCATACAAATATCTATCTGATAAATGAGTAATTTCCAAAATCTGTCAAAAACATGCATTTCAACAATGAAAATATAAGCCTGGTTAAGAAAGCAGAGATGAATGGTCATTTCACTGAAGATATATTCAGAAGGACAAAAGAGACATGAAGAAAGGTTCACCATCACTTCTAGTAAGAAATAATTAGATTAAAACTACAATGAGCTACCTACCATCTCATAGCTGTAAGAAAAGAACATATTTAACAGACCCCTAACAAAAAATGCTGGAGAATATCTGGATAAAAGAGGACCATTTTACACTGTGGTGGGATTGTGAACTGGTGAAAATATGGAAAGCTATCTGGAATTAGCTTAAAATCTAAAAATGGCAACGCCAGTGACCCAGAATCCCTCTATTGGGCTCATATTCATGGAATATGAAAATATCAACAAAACCCCCTATATACTTCACAGCATTCATAGAAGAATTATTTTCAGTAATTAAAACATGTGAGCAAACTAAAGATCCATGTAGGCATGGCTGGATCAACAAGATGGATATATTTACCCAATGAGTATTACCTAGACACAGGAAGGATGACATGCAGCCATCTTCAAGGATGACTTGGAGAGAGTCATGTAAACAAAGAAAGTCAGAACTATAAAAACAAATACTGGACAGTTTTGTGGTAGACAATTTGATAATGTAAAACACTAAAAAAAAACTGGTAAATATTAATTAAAATCTTATGGACTCAGGTTAAGAGGCAGGGAAGAGAAACGGACAGAGTACACCAGGGATGCTACCTCTTTGCTCAAGTCCTGTTTGCTTAACTAGTTCCACCTCCATCTTCACCTGTAGGGCATATCCCTTCCTTAAATGATCATTGAGATTGCCTTAGCAAATCCCTAAATCTAGACTAGTTAGTTCTACCTGACAGCTTCTCTGGATCCTATAGAGGGACCTCTTTCATATTGAACCAAGTGGCATAATTGATTGTGACAGTTATATCTTTAACTGAAGTTGAATGGATTGTGTGCAGGAACATTGGGAATTGAATTTCACAATGGATTCTGATGCTTATAAGATCATATTATCATATTCCTGTTTTTAGCTACGTTTTCCTCTACATAATTCCAGCTAAGCTGTCTCCCATATATAGTTACTGCTAGGAATGTATAGTGGCTGCAGATACCCTGTATTCCTTTACCTAAGTGTTTGCCAGATCTAGTGGTCAATGTAGCTTCAATGTGAAGCCCCATAGAACCTCAGGAAAAAATAGAAGCTATTTTTCAAGGTGTCGAAGGTTATTTTTTTTTAAGATTTATTTTATTTATGTATACAGAACTGGGGTACAGGCCAGAGGTGCACAGGTGGTGAGAAGATTCACCAGAGGCAGAGTGGGGAACAGTAGGCAGATTGAGGAAGCACACTGCTGAGGGGAGCAGCAGGCAGGTCAGGAGAAATCTACCAGGTCACCTCTGTGGCAAGGGATCAAACTCGTGCTGAAGTAGCTGCAGGGAGCTTCACTGTGCTGTGCTTTAATCCATTGTGCCACCATGGAGGGCCCTCAGGTTCTTTATTATCCAGGTTTTCTCAAGTTCCATTTGCTCTCTTTGTATTGTTCTTTATGATTCAACAGTAGTAAACTCCTTTACCTTCCTGAATATACCATGTCACTTCATAACTTTTCTTGGTATGTGTTTCATTATTTGCTTAGTAAGTTCCTAATCATTATTCTAACCTACCTTAGGCAACCTATATGAAATCTTTCTTGCATTACTAAAAAGAAGTTGTTATTGTGTTAGTATGTTTACTGTGATAATCAATGACACTGTTAAAGTCTTCAAATTGTGATTTGTTAATGTTTTACATAAAACCTAGTAAAATAAAGTAAATCAAAAGAAAATATAATCCTACTATGCAGTAATAGTTAAGAATTTTGTATATATACTTTCAAACAGACACATAACATGCACGTATATATTTGTCTGGATACCTATGTCACATCTAGACTGAAATCCTTGAGCATGTGAATGGGCTTTATTAGTTGCCATGTCACTTGGACGTTCAACATGTTACTTGGCACATAAAGGTTCCCAGTAACTGTTTCATTGAATTGAAAATGCAGCGAGTGTCATGACAACAGTGCTCTGCATTCATTTGTTTCTACTTTTCCTAGGAGTAGGGTTGGCCCTCTCTCTGCACAGCTGCACCTCAGAGGTTGTGAGTTCACTTGAATAGAATCTGAATCAAAGCATCAGCGAGTTACTTTCTGCTTATCCCTAAGGACCTTGACCTGCCCTCTTTCTGCTGCGCGTATTGTACTTAGCTGAGTGACATTACCTAAAATTCAAACTTGTGCAACGTGATGGTCATGATTTGAGAAGGAGTCATTGGCAAATGATAAATCATGTGATTCCAAATTAACTGTGATTAGGTTATATGTTCTAAGAATTTCTGTAGAGTCAGTCTGGATGCTTGACTTAGGCCAGGTTGTCATGCTTCACTATAAGAGTGAGCTCTTTCAAGGTGTGACTGAGATTGTGGGATGCAGGAAAGGTGGAATTTGCTGAGTGAAGAGTAATTTCCTGTAGTAGCTGATGTTGCCACAGAGGGAAGAGAGGATTGAAGGTAAAGGCTATTTCAGATAAAAGAAAAATGCTTCAGTGTGGTTCTCCTAAAAAAGGGGTCAGCAGACATTCTCTGTAAAGGACCAGAGAGTAAATATTATGGACTTTGTGGACCAGGTCATGTTTGTAATTACTGAGCTCTGCTTTTGGGTCATAAAAACACTCGTAGATGACATGTAAACAAATGATACATAAAGTTTATAATTGCCATTGTCACATTCCCCAGTCCCCCAAACATGTAGAACCACTTAAGAATGTAAAACAGATTCACAATTTGTATGCAACATTGGTGATGGTTGCCTCTGGGTCTGGGCTGTGGTTGGCACCCCCAGTTCTCTTCTGTATTTGCTTGTCAGGAAGAATCACCAGGAGAAGAAAGTCTCAAAGGGAAGAGAAGGGCTGGAAAGTGTGGGGCATCAGAAACTGTAGAAAAATAAGAGGAAAATGTGCATTATGTGTTTGTGAATGTGGGTTTGTGTGAGGTGATAGAGGAAGGGACTAGAACCAGTGCCCTTGTGCTGCTTATAGAAAGGAGGAAATTTTTATTTGATATAAGGAAGAAATGTTTTAACATCTGCATCTTTGAAGATGCAATGAGCACTTTATGAAGATATGAATTTTCAGTTTTATTAAAGGAACTGTTATGTCTTGAGTAAGCAGTTTTAAGTCTCTCCATGTTTTATTATTAGAAAAGAAGAGGCATTTTGTGATTGCATGTTTTCCACCACCTCTGTTTTTGAGAATCAATCAAATTAATGTAAATGTATCATCTCATTACAAAAATTCTTTTCAAAACAGATTATTGGTTTTACCAGAATGATAGGGTGGGCATAAATATACCCCACTCACATGTATGGTTAGAGAAGTTCTCTCTAGGTGTCTGTATATAGTTGGTTAATGTGCAATTTTTTTGTTATTAAAATTATGGGGAAACAAAAAAATTTTCTCACACAAAACTAGTGAGTAAGGATTGATCACAAAGATATATATAGAACTGATGAAACTCAACAAAAATAAAGTAAGTAACCCCATTAAAAAATGGGCAGAAGAGCTAAAAAGACACTTTTCCAAAGAGGAAATGCAGATGGCCAACAAGCATAAGAAAAAATGTTCAACATCACTT